CATTTTGGAATATGCGTTCACAAAACACTACTTACTCTCAATCAGCTTGAGCTGCGATTTATAGAAAATTAATCGTTAGAAATGGTGCTTAATTTAAAGCTGTTAAACTTAATATGAATGCCCTCCTCGTGCTCTCATAAGAGTGCTGAATTTGAGGGGTTATGCCCACTTGTGAATAGAAAAAAAAAATGTTTGCTTGTATATCGAATTTACACATGGTATATTTGTATATATTTTTCGAAAATTTGTAGTTTATTCGGTTAATAGTTTCAGAAATATGAGCTTATTTAAAAAAAATTTCAAAATTAATGGCTAAATATTGAAGTATTATATACACAAAATTAATCTTCTGGTCAATAAGACCCAGCGGCAATAATGCAGGGTTAATAAAAACTTACAAAGTACTCAATAATACAGTCAGTGCAATAGAAATTAAAAATTAAATTTGGCGAGCAATTAAGCAGTTACAAATAATAACTACTATTTTTTAGTTTTGTTAAATTTAGAAGATATATAAATTTTAATACCCTTACAATCACTTTATTAACATATTCTTCAATCATAAGCACATAAAAAAAGAGAAATTTCACAAAAGCCGCTTTAAAAGATTTAAATGTACTGCTGTGTACATTGATGAAAGCACTTTGGTTACTCAGTCCGTCCGTCCGTCATTCGGCAGTCAGTCACTCGGTCAGACAGCCGATGTATGGCATTACAAAGTCTACATTTACGTTTGCTCATGTGTGTGTTTGCTATTTGTGTGTGTTTGCTATTTGTGTGTGTGTGTGTGTAAATAATTGCGTTTGTGTGGACAAGTCTTTTATAAAATGTCAAGGAACCCAGAGCAAATAAAGCGCTTCAAAAGGCGCAACACACTTACAAAACAAGCTTTTCATGGCAGACAAAAACACGAGCGTCAACTGTGCGCATACAGCGCCGAGTATGTCTACTTTATATGTCTATGTATATACTCAAATATAATGGCGACATATTTAAAGAGACTTATTTTGCCATTGACAAAATAAAAGCGCGAACAGGCTTTGAATAGGCGTTGCAGAAACGGTATGTTTAAGTTTAGCCTCAACTGTTGCATGAAGCCGGTGCTGGTGTCAATGTATTGGGGTTTCATTTTTATTGAAAAAGATTATAAATGATTTGCTGGCGGAACCAGATCGAATGAGAAAATATTGTTACAGCTGTAACTAGTGACAATAATGACTAGTTTGTTACTAGTAACATAAAAGTCAATTATTTAAAATTTAAAATAAAATAAAAAAAGAAACACAAGAAAAAACTTCGGTTGCACCTAAGCTCTAATACCGCTCACAAATAAAAAAAATTTCCACACAAGAATTTGCTTTTGATCAGTCTAGTCTGTTTGGCAGCTATATGCAGTGGCCCGATCTGAACAATTTGCTCGAAAATTGTATCCGTTACCTTGGACAATAATCCGATCTAAATTTCGTGCAGAAGGGAACTTGATCCTGCAGAACAGGAACTTGATTTTGATCCGTCAGTTTGTACGGCAGATCGTATCGGTGAATCCGACAAATGAGCAGCTTCTTGTGAAGAAAAGCAAATGTGCAAAATTTCAGATCTATATCTCAAAAACTGAGGGAACAAGTTCGCGTATATACAGACAGACGGACATGGCTAAGCCTGATCATTTATATATAGACAACAGAAAAATCATATTTCAAGAACTACAGCAGCAAGACTTTTAAAGTGTCCTGCTGGGCACTTATGTGTCTTTATTCAGATCTAACTTCAATACAACCCGCCCAAGAGCTGACTCTATGGAGTTGGTTGATGTAAATGACCGCATAACTGTTAAAAAGACGCCAAAGTATACGACGAATGCAATAAGATTTCGATAAATTTATGGTTTGCATTAAATTTAATGAATATTTAGCTACGCTGAATTCGATTGAAACCATAAGAATTTTTATGGCTTAATTTACTAAATTATACTCGTAGAATAGTAGACATTTTTGGTACTTGGGATTCAACACAATTTTTTAAAGTGGTCCGATATAGGCGCTTCTGACAAATGAGCAGATTTTTAGTTAGAAATGGACGAGAACAAAATTTCAGATCGATATCTCTAAAACTAAGGGAATACTTCGGGTATATATAAACAGACGGACATGAATTAATGGACTTAGTTCGTCACGCTCAGCATTTAGATGTACACTTTATAAGGCCTCCGACATTTCTTAATTTCCATATTTAGTGAAAACTCTCCTCAAACTAAAATGAAAATATTATTTAAATTCACTTTCAAGATTTTCAAACAATGAATCACCAATTCATCGAAATTACTCAACAGCCTCCCTTGCACCCGCAATGCTAGCTATCAACGTGCTTTATGAAAACGCAGCGAATAATTCAATTCATATGCGCAAAACTTTCGGCAGCAGCACACTAGCGCTGCAATAAAGCGCACAAGCGCTGAAGTGCGCCTCAAAGTATGCTGCTTTCAATGCACTCAATAACTCAAGAGCAAACACTCAAGTGCTTCTTAGCATTAACCGAGTCAACAACATAAATATGTACGCATGTATGTATGTTTGCTCATATCTAGTGGCACACCTGCAGTACAACACCAACAACAAGCGGCATGCATAAATTATTCAAATAGTATTATCTAAATGCAACGTTAAGATTATATGGTAAATTTTGAAAAAGCACACACATACATATGCAGCACGCAAATATTTGTTTGCCTCCTCACACACAGATGGGCTAATGAAACTACTATACTCACTATGCGTGTGTGTGTTTATTTGTCTTTTTGTCACCGCACCGCAAAATCATAATTTCTCTGATTCGCTTTTATTCGGAGACGCCTGTGTACGAGTATATGTGTAGCGTGCGCTATAATTACGTGCAGTTTTCACACTTACAATTTTAAGCGCATTGAATGGGCTTTAGATAGTTTTAGTAAAAGTTTTAAATGCTATTTAAAAGCTAAATGCATTTGTGATACGTGATTAGAACTGTTATATAAGTAGGATGTATATGGGGAAATGTATGTGTATGTTTCGGGTTGAGATATCGGTATTTGCACTAAAAATATGGATTATGGGCAAATTATGTTTATAAAAGCTTTATGTAAATATACATATGTGTATGCATATATGTATTTATTTATATGCGAAAACACACATTGGACAACTTTTGCATTCAAAAAGCAGGAATGTGGATTCCCTGTTGATATACGTATGTATGTATGCGCTATTCATTACGTTTTCTAGTAGATATATGGTAAATTAACGAATGTTGTGTATAAACATGTTAGGAGAAGTTGAGGGACATTCTTTGGCACCGTTCATTTGCTTGAAATTAAATTATTCCTATGGAAACTTTCAAATATTGAACCGCAAGTTCAGAGAGATAAAACGATCAATTAGGATCATGAGATTATAATTCAGCGCATGAGAGCGATGATACAGAAGAAGAAGAAAAGTTTGTTATCATCATATTAGCCTTAAGGAACTGGTCCATTTAAACTGCGCACGCAAACCGCATCGATAAAATTTTTCTCCTAGATTGGTACAACATTTTTTATCGGAAGAGATGTTTGACAACGTAGCTCAAGAATGTAGGGTCATCAAACGCACACTTACTGGCGGCGAGACGTGGATTTATGAAGTGAAAAAACCACGACCAAATCAGTCAAAAAACGAAGTGCTGCTCATCATTTTCTTTGATTACCGCGATGGATCAAACGGTCAATAAGGAATACTACTTGGCCGCAATTCATTGGAAACAACCGGATTTTTGGGCAGAAAATTCATCGATTATTCACCTCGATAAAGCGTCGTCATATTCTAGCATGATTGTGACTGACTTTTTGGCAGAAATACGAAACGAGAGTCAACGCTTAGCCACCATATTCGCAAGATTTAGTTACCTCTGACTTTTTCTGTTTTTGATACTGAAAAATCCGCTCCGGGGAACGTGCACTGAGTACATTGGAGCCATTAAAATACATTCATTGAAAGCTATCCCAGTCGATGTTTATAAGAAGTATATGTAAAATTGGATTAATCGTTCACATGCTTCTATTGGCTCAGGAGCCTGTTTTGAAGAATCTTTGAAATCAGATGTGTATTAAAATACGTGAAAATGTTTTTTTTTTTGTTTTTTTTTGGTCAGTTCGGGTCAAATTTGATCGCACATAATGATTTCCATGTGACTTAATAATCGTTTCTTAATGGATAACAAGAACGGTAACGGTTCTTCTGAATCAATCTCAATGTTCAGGATCCGGTCTACAGGAATCATTCCTATTAACAAAAGTGCTCAACCACAATTCAAGCAATAGGTTTCTACGGATGAAAGGGTTAACAATAACTAGTTGAACAAATTTCTTTTTAATTTGTGGCATAATATTATTTTGGTTTAACAAATGAGAAAAGAGTTCGTGTCAAAGCAAAAGTGAAGATTTATTATTATCATCATTAAATTATTTCACATATATTCGTGGTTATACCTACTACAAAAGTAAGGTTTTAAAACCGATTCTAAACTAAGGCATATATTTCTATTGAACATTTTTTAAAACAAATATTATTGGTAAAAGTGAAAAAATTTAAAGCGCACTATAAAAAGTGCCTTAATCAAACAGTTTTTGTTTAGCTAAACAATCAGTGGTGAACGTATGTCTTAAAAACTAATTTGTTTAAGTACTCAGTCTCTTAGCATTATCCTACTCTCTCTCAATAAGTAAGTTTTAAAACTTACATTGCTCCACCTCAAATATTCGACTGCTTAAAGAAATTTAATTAAATATAAAACTATATAAAAATATCAAATTTGAAATAAAAACTATCGAGCATAAATTACAAAACTTAAATTAGACTTCATCAGTATTTAGTAATTACAAAAATAAATTCACTTATTATACTTTGGATAACTTAAATACAATATAACTTTTAAATTGCCGCACGCAACATATTAAAATTCTGCTACTCATTCTATATAAACGCACTCACCTTGAGCTCAACAATTGTTCCGCCTCGTCGGCGGTCATAGCGTCTGGTAGACTGTCTTCGCGCGGTATGACCACCTCCGTCGCCGTCACCGTTGTTATAATTAGTTTTTCATCTTCCTCCTCCTCGGCTACGGTGGCTAGTGGCGCCTCGCTTACATCCGCATGCACATCGTCGTCATCGTCCACCTCGATTGTGCGCATCAAGTCATCCTCATCCTCGCCAGCGCTACTGTCCGCATATTCCAAGTCTTGCATGTCCAAAGCATTGCACTGTTCATCACTAGCTGCCGCTAGCATAGTTGTATTTAGTACATTAAAAGGTGGTGGACGCTCTGGCAAGGCCGGCAGTTCCGAACTATCAAATTCCTCCTGCGTATCGAGCGAAGCGATTGGTGCGATGCCCTTGTTTTGGCCCACCGCCGCCACAGCAATGGACGAAATCGAACGTGTGTTGCTTGTCGAATTCGTGTTTGCTGTGGCGCTACAGCTGCCACCACTGCCGCTACCGATCGATGTGGGTGACATGGGCGGTGTGGACTTGACGCTCACATCGGAGCTGCGTCGACGTATGGGCGACACAACGCCGACGGGTGGTGAAGAGGTGATTGCTGTTTTCACCGGTGAACCACTGCTGCCAATGGATTTCGTTGGCGAATGCAATATACCGCTAACACGTTCACGTTCGCGCTGCTCTTTAGCCAGCTTACCGCCAGGATAATAGAGCTCAACGGCTGTTGTTACTTCCGTTTTAATGGTTGCATACACGGTGGTGGTCTCTTGTGCAAATCCATTAGCATGGAATTTCTTATGCATTTCAGTCACTTTGGCGGTGTCGTAAAGTTCCGACTCGCCAAAAACTTCACGCGCTTCACTACCGTCCGGATTGAGACGATAACCCACATCTACGTAATTTAAACTGGGCTTCTCTGCCTCGTCCACTGTTGACTTACGGCTGCGGTCACATTCATCCACATCGGCACCCACGCCAGTGACGCTACGGCCATTGACCGACTCGAAGTCATAGGCAGGCTTCAGTTTGGCTTTTATCTCCGGTGAGGGTTCATTGAAGCCGCCCTCATCGAGACTGGCGCTTGTTGAGATGATGCTGCTAGGTCGTGAACCCAAACCAGCGGCTGGTAATTGCACAGAAATGCTTGATGAGACGCGTTTCGATGAAGCCGACGAAGCGGCTGATGACGTGCGTTGTGGTGACATACTGTTGGAATGATTTTGCGCTTGAGCTTGAGATTGAATTTGTTGTGGTTGATTTTGATGCATGACATCGGTGACGTCTTGACGTTCGTTTTTGTTGGAGCGTCCTGCAAGAAAGATAAATAAATATTCGTGTTAACAGTGGGTCGATTAGTAAGATTACAGTTCTGGGTAGGATAGATCTCCATGAATGCTGGAACCTTATAAACTAACTAAGATAGGTTACATGACGAACAAAAAAACGACAGATATTTTGAACTGACCAGCTTATCGGGACTATCAAATGACGAAGAAAGGACAAAGAAAAAAACCACTCAGACTTCGTGCGTAGTTTTTGAAGTTCGGCGATATATACCCTAACTGTTAATTCAATTATATTCGAAACTGATTTTTTTAGATATCCAGGGGTTGTTCTGGTCAAGTCACAACTCACTCCAATGATGAGAACTCATACTTTCCACACTTTCCACTTAAGAGTAATAGATTCGCCTGAGCTCTTGTTTTTGGTCTATGGTCTTCTACAATAGTTTTAACCGGCAAAAAAAACTATTTCCGAAGAACCTGTTCAGGTCCTAAAATACTCACTCTTCAAACTATTATATATGTAAACTTACATTTCACTAGCTTATAATATTGTATAAGATCCGGTGCTATCGATATAAAAATATTGAAATCTCATATTAATTAGACGCACATTTTGTTTTTTTATTCACAAACTCTAACTGTGACATCCAGACAGATCGGAAGAATATAACGGAAATAAAAAATACAGATAGCACGAAGAATGGACCAAGCGCTCACACAACCACGCCAATAACTAGCAAAATAAATATGAAAAAAAAAATGCTTTAAAACCCCGTCACTAATGCATATTGAGCGTTGGCCTCGAATTCACTTCGGGCTTTAAGCAGCAATCGTTCAGCAACTTCACGAGATCATTTTGCAAATTCAGCAAGAAATACGATCTTAGCGACTGCTCTGCCTTCAGCTTGGCTATCTTCTCGGCCACCTGAGGAAATTGCAGTTTGAAGTTCTTATAGCGCGCCAGCTCATACTCCAGATAATCATTTGTGCCCGGCGACTGCTCGCCACGCAGTTCGGATGCGATGGCGTCCAGTAATGTCGTTATTTGGCTGCGCACAAATTGATGATCGAGTTCCAAGTTCTCACCGCACGTTGTACAGTTACTCGCAGCAACAAAAGCGCCACCAACACATTTCTCATCCGCTTTGTGGCCATAAAAAGCCGCCGATGTTGTTGCGGCTGCAACATCCGCAGAACTCGTGAACACATCATGTGTGTGGTATTGATTGTGTTCGACTGTTGCGCGCAGCTGGCTGTCCAAGCAAGTGGGCACATTCACATATTGCATCATATAGCCACAAATGTGATCAAACGACGAGGGTGCGCCCATGCCGCTACAATCTTTCTTCTGCTCGTTTTGGTCGCAACACACATAATCACATTCACAGGGCCTACCGCCGCCCCCCTTCTGGTCGAGGCAAGCTTTTTGTGAGGCTGACATGCCGGGCTTTGGCCGTGGACAGACCGCCTGCCGTGGCTTATCCTGAGTTAGAAGAAAATCGCTTTTGTCTAGTATGCCGCCCGGGTTGGGCATTGAAGTGAACGGTCCAGTAAGTTTACCGTAGTTCAGACAAGCGACTAGATGACTCATATAAACATTACGCAATCGCATGTCTTCAATCGTCTCAAAGCCAAACATAGATAATTTGTTTAGCCAAGCGTTCGCTAATTTATATTCTTGCGAGCGGCAGTCGAATACTTCTTCGGGCTTTTTTACGATGTCTTGAAAGAATATAAAATTTTCCGTTAACTGGTAACCGATATTATCTTCTGAGTCCATGTTCTACGCAGAATTTTGATAGTAAAAATTTTGGAATAGTAACTTGATTTAAAATCGTTGATTAGAATTGATTATTTTGTTCGTAATTTCAAAATGACAGATTGTGACGTAGTTGTATAACAAGTTTCGGTATTTCAATTGCCAATGGCAAATACAAAAAAGATTTATAATTTGTTTCTATTATTGAAATAACAAAATTTATTTGCTTTTGCGCATGACATTCAAAAAAAAAGTATGGCGAAAGGTATATTCAAAGATTACAGAGTTGCAATATGATTTATTTTAATTAATTAATTTTTTTTTGTTTTTTTCTTTTAAGAATATGATAGATATATAACATATAAGAAGAAATAACCAAATAAAATTCGTATTGAAAAAAAGGAAATTATATAAAAAAAAATAATTGTTAAGTGTGGTTCCAAATATTGGCCCAATGGTCGCCATTTTGTAACAAAATGTCAATAGAATTTTTATATACTTAAATACAACTACACATTATTATTTTCTTACTCCAAGAACAAATTGGTGAACTCAGGCGTTTTTGTGGACTTTGGACTGGACTAACCTCTTCAAGGGCGTTTTTTCTTAAATTTTTACAGATCTTCAGAATGGCCTACGGAAAAAGATTTCTGGCGGTAAGGAAGATTTTCTGCTTAAAATTATCTCCAAACACAAAAAATTAAAAAGTAGTATTAAAATAGATGAATACATGCAATAATCAGAAAACTAGTTAAAAATTAGATTTTTAACAAAATGGCGGCTTCCCAATAACAAAAGTAATTTTTTGTGAAAAAATTTACATTACAGTGTATCTTAAAATATCAAAATTATTATCCAAAGCTTTATTCCTTCGATTATTATCTGATAAAGTTATCAAAGACGGTCGTGTGAGAATTTCATGACGATTAGTCGAGCCGTTTCTGAAAATAGTGTTTTGAGAAAAACTCATTTAGATTTTGGGAGCCGAATTCAACTTTGCGGCGAATATTCTCTAATATAAGTATAAAAATCAATTTTTTGGAATACACAAGTGGATATAACCGGCTCAAATGATACTTCTGTTTAGACGAAATTAACATACAACTCTGATTTTAGCATGGTCACAGCTCTTTTTTAATAATAATAATATAAAGAGATAGTTGTATTATAGTTAAGGTAAGAAGCAGTTTTATTTATTTATCATTAAACAAAGTTAAAATTAGAAATACATTATTGTATTTCGCCAAATGTGAATCATACTACAAACTATTTCAAGATACTACTAATCTATTTTCTAGAATTATATACAAGAATAATAGAAACATATAGTTTTTTTCACAGATTTGCAAAATTTTTTCATGAATTATATTTTTTTGATTTAAATATATTAATAATATTTTATTTGAAGTGCATTTATAGCATAATCACACGTGAAAAATTCTCAAAAGACCCAACAGGAAATGACACCCGAGACAAGAATTATTATTATTTAATTTTTTTTGGATCAAATACTATTTAAAAAAAAAAAATAAGCATACTGTTGTATTACAGTTGCAAGTGAGTGTGAATCGAACGCATCATTTTCTGGCTTTACTTTGAAAGAACTGGAAAAAGTTAAAGTTTTTCAACTTGGTACCAGAAAACATAACAGGTATTTATACCAGAAAACATAACAAGAACAGTTGCAGGAAAAAGCAGAGGTTGCTTGACAGGCAATTAAATAATAATACTATAAATTCTTAAATAAATAAATAATAAAATTTTAAACAGTTCTATCAGCTCTATTAGTTTATCTTTAAATGTGAAAAAATCAAAAATCAAATTTTGGCAGAACAAAATTTTGGTTAAATTTCAATATTTTTTAAGCGCCGTTATTTTTTAAAATTTTAAAATTTTTCACAACAATTTTCATCGGAGAATTGCGTGTAAATATCGAAATATATAAATATCGAAATATGAATAAATATAGGTTTTTTTAAGTTCCTACAAATCGCTTCGGTGTGATTTAGGCTGTCACACTAGGTGGTCCCTTTAATAGCTGTATTTATGAAAATTGTTGAATACATTTTCTACTGGGCACTTCATACATAGACATATTTGTATCGAAGCTACACGACACACATTTTATAACTAATTGCGACATTGCGAATTAATTTCAAAATTTATTATACTTTCATGCAAGAACAAAAATTAATATTGCGTATTAAAAGCTTTGGAATTCAAATAAAATATGTATGTGTGCATACTTCTGAAATATTTCGAAACTATAAATAAATATGTGCACTCGTATGAAACTAAAATTCGCTAGAATTTTGGCTGTTGCTAAATTTAAAGCGCAAAGAATGCGCTGTTCATGGTAGAAAGTTCACATCATTGTTTGGTAGCGAAAAGTAACAAAAAGAAAGCAGTGAAAGTTTCCAAGGAAAGTATTCGAATATTTTCTATACGCGAAATTTCGCACAACACGCGAACGCAAACTGGAAAGAACAATGTTTTCAAATGATTTTAGAATTGTCGCCAAGCGGGAAAAATCACGAGTGAGAGTAAAAGCGGAGAGCAGCGCGAATACATACAAATCTAACAACAACAATGTTGCAATGTGAAGAAACACTGGTTAACAGCATTTATTTATAACAGAGAATTTGCCGTCGACGACTATGAGTCTGATAAAAAAAAAAATTAAAAAGAGATATACGCAGAATTATATGTGTAGGCACGCCTTCATTGAAGAACGTTCCTATGCTTCCAAAAAACGGAGCAAACTCAAATCTCGGTGGATTTAAAGTGGTTTACCTATAAAAAAAAAAATTTTCAAAAAATTCTACAAATGTTTAAAAAAGTCTACAAATATTAAAAAGTTTAAAAAAATTATGCTCTATTATCGCACGAAACCTTTTATTACCAATTTTTTAAAAGAAAACGCTTTAAAAACTTAAAATACTTTAGGAGAAGACAGCGCCATCTGTTCATAATATTGAAAACGGTTCGTGGCCACGCTCAAAACAATGAGTGAGCCACGTGTTTAAGCGCTAGTTAGTGGTTAAAATCAGCACTATTTTCAAAAGAAAATTAACTATTACTATTGCAATCAAAGATATTCGATGCAAATTGTTCCACTTTTTCTAAATTTCAACTTTCCAAAATATATTTTTCTTATCCTCTAAACTATAACTAATAACGGCAAATAATATTTTGTCATACAAACCTCGGCAGGTGTTACAAAAGTTCTTCAAACTCAGGCACATGTTGAACACACTGCAGCGGAAGCCTCTCTTTCGATCGGCTTTTGTGGTGTTTTCAATTGGCGTTTCTTTCTTTTTAAGTTGGATCACTTTGTAAATTATGCAAATTTTTCTGTCATCACATTTCATGCTTCGTGTTCACTTTATTTTTGCTATTCTTATTTCAATTAATTTGTGTAGAAAAAAATTGTATTTTCTTTTCGTAGTTCAATTTAGTTGCGTTAAAATACAACAATAACACATTTCACTGTAATGTTTAAAACGATAAGATTCACAAAAACAAACACTGATTTAACTCCAACTCTCTCTCTTTTTAATGTGCTATCGTCTTACCCCAAGGAACAAGCTCAAAATGACAACTATATGAATAAATAATAATCTTGGTATATCAAAGACAATGCTTTATATCAGCTTCTTTGCGAGTATAAGCCTCAAGATATTCCCGAAGCAATCTTAATAACCTAATCGTATTTTCGTCCGCCACAAACTTGAGTTTATTAACGTGTTTGGTTTATAATATTGAACGTTTCTTACGAAAGCAGAGTTTACCATACAAAAATGTACCATTAACTCGCCGTAAACACCATTTGACTTAGATGTTTATGAAGTTAAAAGCTGTATATAAAATATGAAATGCACATTGTATATAAAACTCAGAGTTTCTTAAACACCACCATAATAAGGCGCTGAATTCAAGTGAAGTGGTTTGTGTTTTTGGTGCGTTCCTGGCTCCTTAATCTCCTAATTTTCCACACCAACTAAATTTATCGAAATGTTAAGTACAATTTGCATTTTTAAATTAAAATTCATTTGCAATTACTTTTATATCTTCCGTAGCAAATTTTCGCTGAAAAATAAATTATTTTCCCCTGAAACAGCAATTCAAATAAAACGTGTGTTTAATTTGCTCTGCCGTTTTGTTTTGGTCAATCAGCTGTTTCTTCGTTTTTGTTTCTCCTTTTCATAGCCCCTTTGGTTTTGGCTTTGCCAACTACCGAAAATATTAGCAAAGTTTTAGGGGCAGTGACTGAACATACTTAATGTAAGGTGTTTCCAACTATTTTCTCATTGAGGTATGGCCTTTGAGAACAGTAGTGGGTGCACACCAGAGAATCCATTTACAAGGAACTCTAAAATTATGTGAACGCCTTCCAATGAGAATAATAAGTTATCCACCATGCTGGATCAACAAAAAATATGTGAAAATGCTAACCAGGCATTAGAGGTGCCAAATATGCTGAAGAACCACAAAAGTGTGAAACTACCCAGATCTTTAACCATTTGGGTAGTAAGGTTTGGGAACTTGAGAGTATGATGGCTGGCCAAAGGCATATAAATCAAGCAATGCGCGACCAAGTTAGCAACATAGTGACGCTACATGCCAATGTTGAGAAAGGAGAAAACCTACCCAAAAGGATTATGATAAGAAAAGCATGCCAGGATGTAACCCATTAGCAAAAACGTGAATACCCCAAAAAAGGCTGCGTAAGAAAAATAGTGCAAGGCGATACTACGGGTCAACCCGGCATATGCGAAACATGGGTGGAGGTTGTTAAGAGAAGGCAGATCAAAAAGAAAATCAGAACGAGACCAGACGCGATCATAGTTACAAAAAAAAGGATGGTACATCGTGCGCTGATATTCTCCAGAAAATAAAAGATGACAGCGAACTAGAGAAACTGGGCACGAGCGTCTCCTCCTACATCACACACAACGTCACCATTATGTGCTAGATAAAGATTTTGAAAACTTCCTCCTAGAGCACCAATGTATTATTTTTTTCGACGAAAAGTAAGCTTTTTTCCGACAAATCAAACATTTTCGTACACAATCACCACTTTATTTAGCAAACATTAAAAGAAACAAAATAATTTTCACCATGAAATTACCCCACACACTCAAAGAGGTTCATTGATTAACTTGATCAAATCATCTTGCAAACTCAAGAGCAAAAACGAGCGCAATGCCGACTGCGATTTCAATTTATTTAGCACGCGAGCGATATGCGAGAAATTCATTATGAAACTCTTATAACGCAATAGCTCACTTTCCAAATACTTATTGCAACCGCTGCCCACATAACCGCTTAACTCTGCCTCGATTGCCTTCAACAGTACGATCACATCACGACGAAACGTGTCCTTCATATTTGCAAATGCATCGTACTCCTGATAACAGTCACATGGCATACTACACTCCGATGAGAGTGTATTATATGCGCTTGGTGTTATAATTTCACGCACCATATAATTGCTGAAGACATTACCAGATGAGCGACGTTTCATGCCATTCGCATTCGGCTCACATTGTATGTCTGTGCTAAAGCGTACCTCGGGTGTGCTGCAGCGCATAATTTCACGATGTACACTGTTCTCCACGCTGCTGCCACCGGCGACACTGGTGCCGACATTCTCACTGCTGTAACAGCTGCCTAATTGTTGTTCACAATTGTCCGATAAACGTTTCGATTTGGCATCCTCACACCCCTTATAGGTTCTGGCTGCAGACAAAATTATTTCATATATTCACGCAGCACTTGGTATGTCTAAAATTGCTAATCACCTGTACACACTACCGGGCAGGAGAGCGGTTGCTTTTTGACTGCATTAAAATTCACCATTTGCAGACGACCATCGCGTGGTTGATCCGAAAAGGGTCCCTTTAATACGCCCTCAATGAGGCAACAGCACAGATAGCTCATATAGATGTTGCGCAAACGTCGCTCATCCAAATCGGCGCAATCGTAACGGCACAGCTTGTCCAGCCACAGTTGCGCCAAGCAACTTTGGTCCGAGTTTGGTGTGAAGACCAGATTTGGATCGCGACATAGGTCGAGGAATAGCAGAAAATCTTTTGTAAGTAGATAATCGAAATCTATGCCGCTGTTGTTGTAAGACATTTTATTTATATCGTTTTTTCTTTTCTAGGAAACGATTTTGAATGTCACTTAAAATTTAGAAATACACAAAATAAAAATTTGGCCCGAGATTTTACAACGTTTTTGTCACATTTATAAACAAATTTTAAAGAACAATAAAAATTCAAAGCAATATCAAATAAGTAGTGTAGAATAGAAAGGTAGTATATATTTGGGTATTTCAGGATCGGTACACACTCAGCAATTTTAATTTGAACTTTAAAGTTTCGCCCAGTCCAGGATATTCTAAAAATCGTTTTTTCTTTGCCTAATACATATTTAAGGTTTCTAAAGAACTTATTCAATTGGTAGAATAGTGAAAAAAGTTTTGTTCTCTATCTAAACCGCTATAGATCCCCATATGGGTGAAGTACCTCGGTCTGAGTTTAACTCAAAAACTTTTAACACTTTTTTTTGAAACTTCAAAATATCTAATAATCTACGCATTTATTGTCATCATTGCAACTTTTTTTTTATAAACAATTTAGTGCTCTTTTTTCGGTCGAAGCATGAGACCGCCATTTGGTGAAAAAATTTACATATAGCTTAAAAGTATATATGTACTTCACTTTTACTTATAATAAAAACCGCTTATTTTGTTTCAGAAACCACGAGTCCCTACAGTCACGGTAGCTCTAACGACCCTCTGAACAAAGAAAATTCCGAAGCTGGGCCCAGTAGTCTTCATTTTGTATCAAAATGTCAATATACATATTTTTTTATACACTCAACTAAATCTTTCATAAAGTTTCAATGAGAGAGAAAGTCGACTCCCTTTGCCTTACTACCAGAATAAACTGTCAAAGTTTGGCCTGACGGCGTGACGAGCTGAATTGACTTAGCCATGTCTGTTTGCCCGTAAATACGCGTACGGAACACTATTGTATATAGCTGCCATACAAATTGTACGATCAAAGTTAAGTTTTTATTTTTCTTCTTTATTTGTGAATGATATTCTGCTTCGACACAACCGAAATTAAAGATCTTTCTTGTTTTCAATATTTTTTAAATTTTTTTTTAAATATTAAGTTGAAATATTCCTCGGTTGGTTCACTATTCTCTTTCGATACCAACAGTAGGCACGCTCCACAACAAAACCAAGTGCACTGAATAATATACCAAAACCCCACAAGTAGAATGCGCCCTGCAGTATATGCATGCTCAGCACAACTTGTCTACGGTTGCGGTCCGCATTGCCACCACTGTCTGCTATTTCGCTCAAATCGAAATCCAAATTGTTCGGTAACTCCTAGTAAAACTCTTCAACTTCGTGAAATTTATGCTGACTCGAGTAGTGCAAATCGTTGCTACTCCAATACTCGAAAAGACCGCTCTCAAATACAGCAGCTTAAAATAACTGAAACTTGTAACGAAACGGCGAACCCTTCGCCAATATATACTCCTGCGGCATGGAACGCAAATATTCCTTGATCACATGAAACCGCGGGCGACGGCGCTGCACATCGTAGGTTTTTATCAAGAAATCTCTCGCCGCCTCACCACGCAACAGGAAGGCAACACGCCAGCTCTTGCGCATACCGAACGGCACAGCGTATAAAAAGGAAGAGAAGTACACGCTTCAAGCGCTGGCTGTACCGTTGTGAAGAGCGTGTGTACACCAATGATTGGCACATCTAATTTCACCAGTTCGTCTAGTGAGTCCAATTCCGCTTCATAACTCGGACGCACAAAACTGCTCTCTAATTTGCCGAAATAGATTGTGGCTACCACATAACTGAAGTAGATCCAAGCGATGAGTAACTGACGCAACGAACTGATGCGCGAGAAGCCAGTCACAGGTTCGCCCAGTTGGGTCTGCAGAAACATTGCGATGAGCTCATACCAACGACCATGTTTTATACGCACCGCATGTGGCAAATGTTACGCATAGTGTTTGAGCAGTGCAAAGATAGCGGTAACCGCAAAGAAATTCAATGTCAACAGCAGCCAAAGCGTCCACGTGAACGCCTTGATGAAAATCAAATATTCCGGCTGCAATTCCGCCGCTGGCACAACCAAATACAATTTGCGCTTAAAGTATGGATACAGCGCTTCCACTTCCGCTGCGCCGCATGGCAGCGTAAAGCGCGCATTGAAATTCACATCAGCCGCGCCGGCAATCAGTTCGCGCAGTACGCCCGTAAACGAACCATTTGCCAAGCAAACGCCATAATTCTCATTATCAGCGGGTTGCGTGTAATTCACCGATGCATTGAGATACGACACAATATTGCTTGCGAGCAAACCGTCTACGCCGGTGTAACCATCGGCGGCGCGTTCACGCGGTATGGCGCGCAGGAAATCGCATTGTAATGCGTAGCTGGTGTTTGTGCAGATTTTTCAGCTTATCATAGAAATACTACTCATCGGTGATGCGTTTTAGCGCGAAACCAGCGGCTGTGTATGGCTCGAAAGTGTATATCTGTTGCACATCAGTTATGACAACGGCGTCTAGTATCTTGCGCTGCCATATGGCCGAGAGCAGTCGATGTAATTGTGTGATTTGTGCATTTCGCCAAATGAAAACGTATTTGTGAAAATGTTTACGCATTTTTTTCTCATACAACGCGCTCCAGATAGTCGCGGTACGCATCAGCGCTCGTCGTTAACACAGAGATTCTGAAACTATTGTAGCGGCGTTGAGGCCGCTGTCTTGAGCGGCGTGACATGTGTGGGCAACTTAGCCATACATTTCAATAAATTCATTTCCAAATCGTAAGTGTTGTTATCCTTCTGCGCGCCAGTGTACACTGTGTAGATGTAAGAATCATATTTCGCAGCGATTTCACACGCTTTATGCGCTAGCAATAAATCAGTTTGCGCGTTACATTTCAGGCATCCAAATGATATGCGATAACCGTCGTGCCGATTTCGATGATCAGAAGCAATGTGACTAGTTTGAGGTAAAACATTTTTACGAATAACGAAAAATATAGTAATGTCTCTCATACTAATTGGTTTTATAGCGTTTTCACACGACGCTTCATTAGCAATGTAAACGAATGGCGGCATAAGGGTCTGTTTACACGCATAATAAATTAAAGTACTAACCATAATATATAGTCCTTACTATTCCCTAAGCGACTATTTGTCTTCATTAATTTATACTCTTTGTAAAAAAAATGAAAAAGTGGAAATGTCAACCACTAATTGCATGTAACCATAGAGCACTTTAGGAAACACAATATTTTTTCTGTGGCTTTGAAGATATATTCAGTTGTTTTAAAATTAGTACTAAGGCATTTAAACCACAAGTTTGATACCACAATAGATGCGAATGGCGATTGCAGCAATAATATCGTCCTTGAGACTAATGTAAACTGTAAAAAAAAAAACAATTTATTTCAGAAAAAAAAACTAAAAATAAAAAACAGGGATGGAAGATTGTTATAGCATTTACAATCCCGAAATCCCGAATTTTTCTAATGAGTTCCGTTGTCATTATATCGAATGAATTTATTTGCTAAAAAAAAAGTTTTTTTTTACAAAAATCGAAAATGGCAAATTTAAAGGCCTTACATCGATATCTGAGGCTCCAAATCCCGTTGTAGAATTTGTGATATTTTAAGAATTAAAAATTAAAAAAATTTTCGAGATCCCGGTATTTTTTTTCTTTTACAACAATCGAAAATCAGAAATTTAAGTTTTTCACATTTATATCTGAGACCCCAAATCCCATTATAGAATTTGTGATGTTTAAGATTTAAGAATTAGAATTTTCAATATTTTCGTTCTGGAATAACAACAGAAACGTATTTATAACTTTTTTTATTTAGAGAATAAATTAGAAAGGTTGCAGCGGCTTATATTAGGATGGAATGAAAAAAAGTTTTTAACTAGAGAGTGAGTCTCTCATCATTTTTCAACCCAACGAGAACGATTATCTTTTTAAGGAATATCTCAACATGTAGTCCATGTTTCTACTGCGTTGCCTACATTTAGGATGACGCTTAATAAACAAAAAATAAAAACAATTAACGCTGAATGTGTTTATTTGTCAATTTTCGCTTTAGTTATTATTTACTTAACTAATTGCACTTTGCCGTCAAGCTCTTCAGCAAAAACTTTTTCAAATACGCTTCACTAGCAAAAATGTTTTACGCGCGCTTAGTCGGAGTGCTACTAATCACCGAAATCCTCCTAATAGTCACTGGAGCGCGTACGCTTTCACATTTCAATTTAACAGTACCACGCGGCAATGAAGCCTTGAGCCAGAGAGTGTGCGATATCGCCGCACAAGTGGATGCCAGCGTCAATTTAGTATATTTCAACCAATGTACCCAAAATTACACCCTGTATCACTTGGAACAAAAATTAATCGCTTGTATGGCGAAACTGCCAAGCTTTGCACTGCAGTTGGAGAACTACAAAAAAGAACTCTCGCGCGGTTATGACAGCTTGAGTGTCTTCTTCTTAGCTGGGCACAACGCCACCCACATCAAGTGGATTACCGATATGTTAAACGCGAAACAACAGCGCAAGCAGTATCATAAATATATTTTCGTTTGGAGAAATGCTGATGAAAAGCAACTGCAGAAACTATTTGAAGCTGTTTGGGCCAAACACATCTTAGATGCGATCGCTGTAACAAGCGCCGAAGCAATCTACACCTTTGAGCCGTTCACAGCCGCGGGATTTGTCGTAAAGCGTCGGCGAATGGGTGGACCATACTTCTACGATAAATTAAAGAATCTGCAACACTATGAGCTGCGCATCTCAATGTTTAGAGACTTTTTACGCGCCGTGCCTAAGACAGCCCCACAAGTGGGCTATAGTGGCGTGGATGGTTTAATGGCGACTAGTCTGGTGCTGCAACTAAATGCAACTGTAAAATATATTGCACCAGCGGACAACGAGAACTACGGCGCCTGCCTAGAGAATGGTACATTTACGGGTGTGCTGCGCGATCTAATCGCCGGCACAACAGACGTCAACTTTAACGCGCAGTTCGTGTTGCCTTGTGCGGCCGAGCACATAGAGACCTTGTACCCCTACTTGAAGCGCATCTTGTATGTGGTAGTGCCAGCGGCAGAAATGTTTCCCGACTATCTGATCTTCATTTACGCCTACAAGGATTCGCTGTGGCGCGCTTTACTGATATTTTTCTTTGTGATTATTGCGATATTCGCTTTGCTCAAGTGGACTATCGAAAGGTTACGAAATGTGGAGAAAATGAAAGACGCTTGTTGGTACGATTTGATTGAGCTCTTCTGGAAGGTTCAACTGGGTGTACCCGTCGATCGCTTTTCCAACACAAATACATTGCGGCAATTTCTAATGGCCTGGATACTCTTCAATTATGTAATGACAAGCATCTATTTCGCCAAAGTTGAGAGCATTTTCGTGCATGCCTCATACTATCCGGAAATTGATCGACTCGACGATTTGCACACTTTGAATGTACCCATATTTGGTGTACAAAATATATTCACAGCCATAGAACCGGCGTTGAAGCCAGCGCATTGGCGCACCATCGAGCAGCATGGCGTCCACTTGCCATTGCAATTCTCCTCCTTTCAATTTGCTGTGCCGTTAAGCAAGCGGAAACATTGGCGTGTCGCATTTCTGCTACGCGGTGAAGCTGCAAAGGATTTATTGGTGAAGACCTACGATGCTGAACACAGGCGTCCGCGATTTCACGTGGTTAAGGAGCATTTGCATGCTATGCCGCAAACGTATTTATTGCCGAAGGGTTCGCCGTTTCGCTACAAGTTCGAGCAGTTCGAGAGTCGTGTTTTGGAAAGCGGTATTTTTGAGTATTGGTCGCGTAATGCTCTGCATCAGCGTAATAATGTGCATTCACCTAATTTGGAGGAGTTTCGTAATGAATTGCCGAATGATCTGAATTTCGAGCTGAAAGAAATCGATTCCGCCGATGATGTGGAGGAAAAAGTTGTACTAAATATGCGTATATTACAGGGTCCCTTCTATGTGTGGGGCTTCGGCATGTTGTTCAGTTTCATTAGTTTCGTGTTGGAGCATGCTTACTGTTGCTATTGGAGGCCTCGAGCTATTGTGGTTTAAGGTGCGATAATAAACCTTTTTTGGTGAATTTTTTTCCAAATAAACACAAAATTTTAAGAATATTATGAATAAAATGTAAGCACAAAAATTTTGAGGGAAAAACCTCAGCGCTTCTGAAGTATGGTATTATAGCAGTAGCTGCGGTGACCGTGCCTAGTATTGAGATAAGCGTTATTGAATTGTTAGACCAGAGTAGAATTTATAAATAGCAGAGTGGAGAATCGAACATGTCTAATATAAGAATTCAGTATACTTTCGTTTGAAGTCGTCGGATATATCCAGAACTATGGAGATTATCTACAAACATAATTGTGATAATACAATTTGAAGGAAATAAGCTGATAATCCTCTTCTTTTGATTCCATTCCGATAGCCAGTATAAAGTATTATTAAGCTTAAAGTCGATAATTTCTAATAGAACCTCACAGTGCCTTTAATTTAGAGTTTATGCTTAGTGGCAAAGTTAAAACGAAACAAGTTGTCCCACAAGACTTCGGAATGTAATTCAAAATATCTTCCTATCGCTAAACTAGGTTTGTCAAGCAAACAAACAACATCAAGAAACTTGTGATAATAAACATTTTAGAAAGTAAGCTGACGAAACTATATTTCTGATTCCATGATGAAAAACACAACGATTATAGAAAAGAGTGCGAAGAGTTCACGATGGAACTTCAACTCATATTTTAAGTGGTAAAACTCGAGCCATGTTTTATTCATATTTGGAATGGGACGGCGAGATTAATTAGAAACTGTTTTGTCATATTTAAAAAAAAAACGGAATTAGAATTTTTTTTTCTTACCTAAAACCGAAAAAAAAATGTAAAAACTAAGAAAAAATCTTCAAAATTATTTCGACATTGATAATCGCAAAAATGTTCACTTAAAACACAACTCTCTAACATTTGCATATTTTTGGTTAATTTCTGACTCAACACTCAACCTGATGCCACGTCCATTAAGATCAAGCACACAATAAACAAGAAAATAAACAGAACATCAGTCAAAGATCTATCGAGCTTATCCAGCCACTCACGGCCGGCAGTCGGTGCGAAATATCTAAAAGCATCGCCAGTAAATAAGGTAAAAGCAAATTATTATTGAAAGGAATTAAGAGTATTATTAATTTAAAGGTAAAACATCTGCAGCAATGGCAGATGCATGTAAACACACGCAAATGCCCGTAGATAAACAAATTATGTTTACATACAGCTACATATGCATGTAGATGTGAATTAAGTCAAGGTCAGCAAAAGAATAATATAAACAGCCACTGAAATGTATACATTGGACAGACAAATACATGTATACACGTATATAGTACATTTATATATTTGTATGTATGTGAGAAAGATAACAATCAAAAAGCAGTGTAAATTGCTGACAGTTTATAAATACTCAAGTGTAGAAGAAATGAATGTGTGTGTGTCGCATACGCAAACCAAATTTTATAATTGTATATTCCTCAAAAGAAATAAACTCAAAAATTTAATATACATGACGCGATTTATTTTTAATTTTTAGATT